GGGACAGATATAAACATTGAGATAAGGATGTATGGAATGTACGAATGTGAAACATAGGATGCGAAGTGTAGAATATCGACAGAATATTAAGATAGAAACGTGTGAGAAATCTGAAACGAGTGTCAAGATTTTTCGGCTATTAAAAAATCCTTCCCCGCATATATATATATCATAAGTCAATAAATGAAACAAAACATTCGATACTCGTGACAACGTTTCTGAAATAATTGCTCCATAAATAATTCGTCACGTTGCAGCAAGCGCTGTCGAGGGTAGATCCCTGTGCAACCATCGAAGAGCCTACAAGCTGTTCACCGATTCTGTCAGCCCAAAGTGCCGATTCCCGGCGTTTCCGTGCGATAACGGTTACGATGGTCTTCTCCGTGGCGAGTGTTTCCCCTGTGACGTGAACGGTATGGGCAAACCCTGCGGCGATATGGGTTATTACAGCGACGAGTCACCGGCCAGGGGGCAGCTTTACTTGGTGACGAGAGACGAAGAACCTTTCTGCGCCCATCAATACCAAGTGAAGGTGTACAACAGCCGCAGTGAAAGACCTGCAAGGAGTTACGGCAAGTTACAAGTGACTCTGATCGGAGAAGGATCTTTCAACGACACGTTCGCGATGACGCGAAAGGACGAGGAGCTTCTGGTTGGCTCGATTCTCCAGAAAATTGTTGTCCCGCACCCGGCGATTTCGACCGTGGAAGCTATCGAGGTAACCGAGTAAACCAGGACGTACACTTCCGATCAGAAATTTCGAACGCGTTGAGATCTCACGGAGATTATTTCATTCGTGATATCATCATTTTTACCAGTTATTTTTAAAAACAATATTGTCACTTCTCAGACAAATGTACAAAGAGAAGCGAAAGTTCTTATTTCGTATATAAGAACTGTCCAAAAGTATGTTGCACTTGCATAATATAACATGTAGAATTTTAACAATAAACCTTTCGTTCTTATCCAAATCCCACAGATCAAATATACGGCGTACAGCGGTTGGATCTCCTCGGGCTTGGTGTCTTGGGGCATTGACAAAGTGGCGATCGTCGACAGCTTTGGGAAAACACTCTCCGTCTGCAAGAAAGGATTGAGCTTAGAATCTGGGAAGCCAGTGTTCCTCCCTCTATTCGCGGGGGAATGCAACGTCCCCGCGGAATCGGACAACTCGACGTCCCCGGCGATGGAACGTCTGATGGAAGAGAAACAAGGCGGCATCGGCCCGTTCACCAAGGAACAGAACTACGAGATGAAAGACGATAGAACGGAAACAATCTCGAAGGAGAGGACCGCGTCACTGTCCACGTCGAAAGGTTTGGGTCCATTCACCAAAGAACAAAACGTGCGAATGGTCGAACGAAAAGAGGCGAGCAACTTCGAGGAAACGAGCAGTCGCGGCAGCGGTTCCAACAATCCTTGGAACATCGTCGACATATCTAGCGACGGGGATTCGAACTCTTTGGAAAATTCAGACTCCGAGAGGGGTAGAGGATTCTCCGGTATCAATTTCTTTGCAGCTGGAAGCTCTTCCGCGGACCCTTCGGTGGAACCAACAACCGAATTCCTCCCGGAAATTCGCGAGCCCGTGCTGCAAGTGGACAAGAAGGAAACAGGAAGATCTTTGAAATTCCCGGAGATCACGGAGCCGATTTTGAAGCCGCGTTCGGCAAGGCAGAATACCAGGAACGAGGTTCACGGCCGTGAGAAACAAAAGGAGGAGATACAGGAAACGTCCTCTACGTCCAGAGCGTTCACGGTTCAGTTCCTACCGGAGAGGTTGGCTGGGATCCTGGCACAGGCCGAGAGGTACGCCAGGCAAACGCTCCTTCCTTTGATTTCGCAGTATACGCCCAGCTTCGTCACTGGGACGCGGTTCGAGGAACCGAAATACTTTCCACCCTTGGGCGCGATCGCCTCGAAGAATCGAGAGACCAATGAATCGGCGAACAACGATCACCAACGTCAACGAAGTGACGACCGAGTTGGTAACACTGAATCTTTCATGGAGGAGAAAACGAAGAATTCTTCCAACGCTACGTCGATGGAGGCGAATTATCAGGAAAGAGATCTTAATTCAACGAGAATCGACGAGAGCAACGAGTGGACACCCATGGAATACTCTACCGTGTCTAGGAAAGATTTTAACGCGTCCAGGTCTCTTGGGAATTGGGAACACGAAAAATACGACTGGTCGATGCAAACAACGTTAGAAAACAGTAGCTCGGAAATGGACGATTGGGTGCCTATTACGGTTAAAAGCGAAATCGAAATGTCCGAGACTTCGAACAACGTATCTAATGAGATCAGTTTCACTCACGCGGTTACCGACAAGCAGATCGAAGCTGTTCAAACATCTGGACAGGAAGCTGTGACGATGAGAAACACTAGGAATAATACGGACGAGGAAAGGGGAAAAGACGAGAGGAAGTACATACCATTGATCAATCCGAGTACCGAAGAATTATCGTCGACGAGCACGAATGATATCTCAGGGACTGGCTCGAGTTCCTCCACGTATTCGCCGTACTCTCACATTCAAAAAATACCTAGACCGATCAAGACGAGGAGCGACAGAGCTGGAAGAAGTTCGACGAGGAGAAGTATGGTCTTCCCATACGCGTACGAGAAGAAAAAGGATCCAAGGACTAGGTATATACCTTTGATACCGGAGGAAGATATGGGAAGGCCCCACTTTTCGTTCGAGAGAGAACGCTGAACCAGTTGAAACGAGAAAAATTTATTGGAACTTATATATATATATATATATATATATATATAT